CTTTTTTTCGAAAAACTGGCTCGTAATTACCGAGCGATCCACTCAACCAATTAAAAAAAGAGCGAGTATACAAGAAAAAATTCGACTTTCTATTTTAAATTGCTGGCATTTCCTTATCTTCGACGTTATATTCAACCATAAAGTATACGACTGTGGGCCTACACCGCTTTATTACCTTTATGGCAGCTCCTGACACAGTACTGTTCAATTTATCCAGTGCGTAAAATTTAAAGGTATTGTTTAAAAAGTTGCCGGGGCCATCGACCTACGCGACCAAGAGACGAGTCGTTTATTTTCGGTCCGTCTTTGTTCGTATTTCCAAATATTTATAGTTCTGCACGAAGATAAAGAGTGTCTTTTATCGCAAGTCATGTGCTGAGAGAAACTGATATGACTCACAATCAATCACATCGAACACGTTTCACGAAAAATCTAGTCGGATACGCCGCGGCTATTTAAAATGCAAACAAGAAGCTAATGACCCTCTATCCTCCGGTCATGAAAATTTACATCTGAAAATATATTTACATCTCTAATCGTAATCAGTTGTCCAAATCAAATTATTTTGGGCTGCTTTCATTCCGACATCTGCCTCCGTTCGTGCTTTTTAATAAACTCGCATTGTGGGCCTCCGAGACCGCAGAATGCTGCTATTCAGATCGTTGCTTATAGCTCTGATCGGTTCTCGTGCGAATAACGACGAAAAATTACACATTACGTATACAATTTCGATTTTTTTCAACCTTCTCTAGCTGCGTTATTACGGTTTTAATGCGGACTACTTAGAGTGAACATTTAGGTCATTGTATGTAAACTGGAAGTGTGTTGTAGCCTCATTATCGCACAAAATTAAAACTCCCAAAAACGCTTTCCCTCGAAATTCGTTTACGACAAGGTAAAGCAATTATTACGTTGGCAAAAGCTCAAATTGACTCTTGCACTCTGTCAGGGACAAGGTGAGGATTTTACCAAACGCGTCACTGTTAACCTCGCCTCGTCGGAACTCTATATTTACATTTGTTATTCAAAAGAACAGTTTCATCGCAAGAATTCGTACCTCAAAAAAGTCCATTTCGAACCGATGTACACGAGGTGAAAAAACGGAAAATCATCATTCCCGGACTCATGTAGATGTCCTTGATCTTTCATGAGATTGTCGTAAATCTGCTTTTTATCAGATTGCTACAAGGATTATAAAATTCGCGAGGAAATTTTACAAAAAGAAAACAACATACGTAAAACGCGTATACGGAATTACAACGTCCGTTTATTTTTGGCACAAAGAAAAACGTTCCATCTTATATTTAAACCAACTGTTACAATTCGCGAAATTTCAATGTCGACATTTCAAACAATTGTGTTTCGATTTTTATATAGTTCCGGTTTTGAAACAATGACAAAAATTACTGAATAATTTCTGGTGGGTTTAATCCGATCTGAAGATAACAATTATAAAATTTTACGAAACCCATCCGTGTGGAAGGAAAGCTTCCAGATTATGACGTGCTTGGATGGTTTACATGTAGGAATTAAGGTTCTGTGAATATAGTCATAAATTATTACTACCATAATAGTAAAAGGAGAACTATACTACTTTTCAAGGTATGACCTACTCAAGTGTTCGTCAAGACTAGAATTCCAAGTAATTCGACTTTTTGATAATTAACTTCACCTTCCGTAATAATAACAATAACAACTCTTCGGTAAGTTTTAAACTGTTCCTTTAGAACTGTCACCTCGAAATGGGTTTACACATTTTTTTTTATTTCATATAATTATGAAAGTAAATAAACCTGGTTGGTTGGTTAGTTTCATAACGTAGTACTACTCGTGGAAAACGGGCAAGAGCAGTTCATGTCTGCTCTACGAATTGAAAAGAGCCAGTAATTTTGGTAAAAGAAGCTTCCATTACATAATGCTGCAGAATTATGGTGTGATATAACTATTACTTTAGGCACGATTGATGCATTTTCCCACATATTGCCACATTTTAACACTACATAATATAAGTTCGGAGGATTTTCACAGATTCTAGCACGTCTGGCAGCCACAAATGATTATTTGCTTATATAATAAAGTTTATTATTACTTTCATGCAAGAACAAATATAATTTCCGATTAGATATTTATTGCTATTCGACCAGAGAAGGTCGTTTATTGGTCGAAATGGTAGGTGTACTTACAACGTATCATTGTTGCCATACCTAACCTCCTGAGGCAAAAAAAATCGTTTTACAGACGATACATAAATAACTTCAAGGTATCAAGTTAAGTCAAGTCACATGATAAAATTAATACCGTTTTCAGATTCATCTGCCGCCAGAAAAACAATCGTTACTCGACACACCAGCAAATCGTGAAAATATTAACTATCAATTACAATTCTCACTAATCACTACCACAGTTTTGATAAAACTTATCAAATTAAGACGTAAATTGCGATTATCGTGCATTCATTTTTATCGTACGCTCACACTGATTATCTTGAATGGGTGCAGATAATTTAATTAATTTATTTATCCGGTTCGAGTGCACTTCTACGGTTAACTATCGATGGCATGATTTTCACGAGTAACGCCTATATACCAACTACATTTATACAAAGATTTGGGGAAAAATGTTGAACTGTGCGCTCATTGACCACGTATTTAATATGTGCCTTAAATATTTCAGTGTGTCTGCGCCGATTATAAATTATCAAATTAAAAAGTCATTAAAAAAATAGCGTCATGACGTCGACAATTGGAAAATGCGGTTATAATCAAGTTTCATTTGTACAAGGGAGGTTATTTACACTTATAATTATTGTAATTTACCAAGTCAAAGAAGGTATTGCTAAATTTTGCATCAATTAAATCGAGACAATGTATTTACCAATTACAATCCCAATTAGTGTTAGTAATTTCTGTGTTATTGTAATATTAATTACTCTAATTGATTTTCAAGTAAACATTCAAAAAATTTTCAATACGTGTGGAACGCTAGAATTTTGTAGAATTATACTGCTTGTGTGTCTTCAAACTTTTAATTTTGCAATTAGTGTCAACAATTACTTACCGAACATTGACAATCACAGTGAAAAAAAACTGAGTGCTGATTGTATCAAATTCACTTATAGTAACGACTCCGACTATGCGATAAATCAATTATTATATCTAGCACCGTAACCTCACTTTCTTCTTGACAGCTGTACTTTGACAAACAAACCAATCACTTACGAGCGACAATATTAACACTTTCATAGAGAAACACAATATTGATTATTACCTTACTGCATTATTTTTATTAAATGGAAGTGGGTATTTTACGGCTTCAATATCGCCCACAAAATTAAAAAAAAAATCATTAAAAATGTTTGACAATATTTTTATAAAACAAAAAAAAATCTAAATAAGCAAGTAAAAAATCCTGCGCCAACTACAGTGCGATTTTTGTTGATCGTACGTTATGTAAACTACTGTGAACCAGTATTTTAATATTATAATGAGGTAAGCAGTTTGAAGTTGATTGTATCGATTTATTGTAAAATAAGTTTACTATTTATAGTAAATTGGTCTGTTCGCCGACGTACCCATTATATGAAGATTAGCGAATTAATGTGGAGACCCTTAAAACGTTTTAATGCTCCACAGTGCACCACTGACTACTTGACATTGATTTTTAAACGTCGAATGATACCTTCGGGTGATCTAAACTTAGGCAGACGATTTATGTCAAACGTCTTTATAAATTTTTTTCATGAAAATAAAAAAGACAGCTGAACTAGAAAACCAGCAAAACAATTTTGTCTAGACTGAATAAGATTTCAAGAAATAAACATGCTGTTTAGACGCGTTTGTCTAAAAATGTCAATTCTACGTATATTATCAAAAATACATATATAGAGAACTATAAATGCATCGCAATTGGGGGAAATTGAAAGAAACGTAAAAAGAAACATTAGAACATATCCAAAAAAGATCGTTATTTTATTTAAAAAAGTGACAGCTGTCATTAGCAAATGCTCTTATTAGAACTTTGACATTTTAATCTCAAAAAACGAAGTCTCCTCTGTTTGACAAATTGTATCAACACAATATTTCTCATATTTTTTGCTTATGGTATATTTTAAACTTCTTTCTGGAATCAACATTAATCACCACGTTGTACATCACGGAATATTCGCGTTTCCTTTTTTAATTTGTTTCTTAATCTCTGTTATTATTAAGTATATATCTCTGCTGACTGTGACCGGCTCTGCACATCCTGACACGTAAGAGCAAGTAGTCACATTCCTTGTAAGTGTAGGGCAAAAAATAATCATGATATTATTTTAGAAAATTTTTCATTAGATTTATAATCAGGCTTGCGAACAGTCCTGATCTTAATTCCATCAAAAATATATGGACAATAATTATGGTTCCCAAAGTGTAGAAAAATGTGAAACAATATTCAACAATTGATGCTGATATGGGTTAAGATTATCTAGATATTTAGTTAAAACTAACACAACAGATATGAGTCTATTAATTCATTATAATTGTAATTTAATACTCTATACAAATTCGTTACCAAAAACATTGTTGATCATTCAAAAAAAAAAAAAAATGCGTCACGACGTCGATGCTAAAAATGCATCATAACTGTAATGTGCTAAATTAAGCTTCCCCTTCAATCTAAAAGCAATGGTGTTTGCAGAATGGCAATATTTCCATTCCTTCTCAGGACATACGGCCACGAATTTGTGTTAGATTTTTTGTTCGTGCCATGTTAATTATCTTTGTTGTCATTTCAAATTGAAAAAGGACGATCTTTAAACAGCAAAATTGTGATCGCGCAAATTTTTTGTCTCTCAGCTTCCAGTATATATCGTCAAATCGTGTTAGACGACATTCAAAGCCGTAAGTAAAGCAGTTGCCGTTCCCCCCAAACCGGGCCCCCATTCTCCCTTATTCCCCGTCCTCCCGACCTTTCCGCCCTCTGCGTCTCGCACCCCAACATCCCTCGAACAAAAGACTTACCAGACGACTCCGAAAGCCCCGTACCCGATCGGCCTGTCCGGTTGGACCTGTTCCTGCGTGTGTGCCGGGGCGGCGGCGTGCTGTGGATGGTAGTAGGGCTGCGCCGCATGCAGCCCCCCTTGCTGTCCCCCGGCGGTGGGGCCGGCCGTACCCTGCATCATACTCATGGATACAGACATGGACACCCTCGAGTGGCGGCTGGGGCCCACCACAGCCATGAAATATTGCACCAGTTCGACGCCTTTGCCGCTCTCCCCTATATCACATACGCGCCGTGTGACGGGGGCTTAAGGCGCTGCGGGAACTTCAAACCTCTTTCGAACGTTCCCGACACTCGTTATCCTTGCCTTGCTAGACCCTGCTAGACCCTTCTCCCTTGCGGCACACGCATTTATTCGAGGGTCGCACACGTATATATGCCGTGTGAGGGGGGCTTAAGCCGCTGCGGGAATTTCAAACGCCTTTTGATTATTCCGGCTGCTCGTTATCCTGCGTCGCTGGATCCTCTTCCTCTGCGGCAGGCGCATTTATTTATTGTTCTCGGGGATTCGACTCCTGCAGGATCGCACAGGCACCGTGTGAAGGGGGCTTAAGCCGCTGCGGGAATTTCAAACGCCGTTGGCTTATTTGTGACACTCGTTATCCTCGTGCTGGTCCTTAGGGCTGGCTTACGCACTTTTGCGGTTGCTTGCGACTTTTCATCAAATGAGGACCTGGGGGCGGTTGGAGGCTTGCGAGTCCTTGTCCACAAAACTAGGAATTAAATTTAATTTCACGGTCATGTTAGCACTTGTACGCACTGCTTTTTCGGACGAAAACGAACTTTAATTTTTGCAGAGAGCGTTTAGGGTGAATTCGGTGTTGAAATAAAAATAAGGAAATAAGTTGGAAATTTGTGGCACAAGATGCACAACTTACACAACCGTTCGATGCGAACTGGAGTCAACTCAACATGGCGCAGAGGAGCATACATTTGCGGACCCCACTATTCGACGGTGGGAGTGCGCATGCCAGGAGAATTGTAACAGCTGACTACAGCTGGACTACCGTCAGGTAATTTGAAGGCTTTGTCTATAGCGAGATTACTGTGGGGGAAAGCGGCGACAGAAGGTGGAAGTGGGGTGGTGGCGCCATTTTTATGTATTCCGGTAAAATTCACTTGATGGTAGGGTAATTTGAATGAGTTTAATTGCCAGCAGTGAATAAATTAAGTGCATTTAATTTTAAAAGCAACTGGATTTAGAGAGAACAAATTGATTGCTGTTGTAAACGATGTAAATTAATTTATTTTGTCTGTGCCTAAATGGGTTTGATTGAGTGATGGTGTTGAATTAACACAAAATTACATATTTTTAATGCTGGCAATTGATTTGTCATTGATTAAAAGTACTTAGAAAGGCAAAAAATTGGACAGTTTTCGAAAAAAATTGTACATTTTTATTTAAATCATGTAAACGGAACGAAGGTGTTCCTATTTAACACTTCATGAAGACAAGAAAAACTCATTCAATTACTTACATTAAATTAAAAAATATATAAAAAGACGTAATAAGCAGTTGTTTCCAAGAATTGTCCTCACAACCAGCTACACATTTCCATCATGTTTGAAAAGAATCCGGAATCTATCTCTTTTAGTGGACTGTTTCTAATATTAAAGTCAAACGATTGAGCAACAAAGTACGCTTAAAACCTAGGACTCGAAAGTACACAAAAAAGAAACAAAATAGACACACAATTTTTTTTATATAAATTTGAGTGTCCCGAAATTCAGAGTTTCAGGGCACTATGAGAAGTGCTCCGGCTCCGACGAAGAAAAAGTTTCTCCAAAAATATAAATAAATGAAAAGAATACTCAAAAAAACTGTCAAAGAATTTGTCTAAAATTCAGAAAAACCTGTTAAGGTGTTTGGAAAAAACTTGTAACTATAGACTGGTTAGTTATTTTATTACCGAGTTAATATACTGAGTTGCTAGCAATATAAAACCTTTTGTCAAAATTCATTACCTTTCTACGTGTTAAATTATGTTTTTTGGTAGTTGACTTTTATAAACCATTTTTTTTTTTCATTAACGGGATTAACACAATAGTCAAAACGGTTTTCTGGTACGGTACTATCGTGCCGCAGTTAAATACTCTATCAACAATCCGTCAAATAATTCGCAGTCGTAAGTATATTCTAGTCCTACCCAAATCCGTACTTCTTTTCGATTTGTATGAAATGGGATTATATTTATGGCATTAACAAATATTCGTAAGTTAAGAAATTTGGTTAACTATACTTTTATTATCATCAAAGACGTCACGCTAAGCAAAAAGTTAATCCGTATCTAACAAACAAAGCAATTCTGCCAGTCCTAAGCTGTTTTTGAGTGATAGTTACTGAAAATGATTTACGATGGGTACTTTCAATGGTGGATGGTAATGCCCAGATAACTTTTACCTCCTTCTCCTTTGTTATGATAATGGTTTTCGTCCTGGACTAATCTAGTAGCGACCCAAAACAAAAATAATCATTATTTGCACACTTCGCCGACTGTGTTAGTATCAAGTTCTTTTCTGTCTAAAAAAGTACCAAATACATTTTTAATAAAAATGACACTTCTTGAACGTAAGAAAGTCTTGTAATAATATCCATCCAGGCGCGGATCCAGGGGGGGGGCAATGGGTGCAATTGCCCCCCCCCCTGACACACGACCGAGGTACTTTATTTTGACCAATTTCAAAATTTTGAAATCATATTTCATTTTGTAAATACAGTACAACCTCTATAATCCAAACTCACGATTGTCTCAACATCCAGTAATCCGAACAGAGGCTATTTGAAGTCGATGCCTCTTTAATCCGAACAAAAACTCTGCAATCCGATCTGAACTTGATCTACTTCCAAAAATGATGCAAGATCTTTCTGCATATGTTGTATGGAATATTTTGAAATTTTTAAAAATTGCGATATTTCAAAGCACTGAATTAATTAACTAATTCTGGAAAAACGGATGAAGTTATCGGAGACCCGAAATCTACAAGAGAAAGTATTTCGTTAAATTTCGAAAATCGTCGAAAATGGGTCGAAATTTGCACGAGAAAAATTTCATTTTCGAAAAAATTTCCTAAACATTCTGAAAAAATTCAGAGATATATATCCCGACGTGCTGATTCCAAAAATATACCATGTTTATAGTAACGGAGCAATATTTTCGGAAAATTCGCTGTGAAATTCGAATTTTTCGAAATTTTTAAAAATTGCGATATTTCAACGATTCTGGAAAAATGGTTTAAGTTATCGAAGAAATGAAGCCAGAAGTGACTTCTGAGGTCCAAAATCTACAAGAAAATATATTTAGTTAAATTTCGAAAATCGTCGAGAATGGGTCGAAATTTGCATAATGGAGGTAATACGAATACATAACTGAAAATTTCATTTTTGAAAAATTCATCTAAAAATTCTGAAAATTTTCAGGGTATAGATCCCGGGGTGTTTATTCCAAAAGATAGCGTGTTTATGGTCACGGAGTAATATTTTTTTAGAATGTATCTATTATCCATTGTTGCTTAAGAATTCTTTAATTTTTGTTTAATAAAATTTAGGTTTATTTCTTGAAGTTTGTTTTCAGTTGTGTATGAAGTTGTTATTCAATTCCCTTTCAGATTTTTGGGAAAATTGCTGATCCGAACAAATCGTTAATCAGAACACAACTTTTTCCCATTTAATTAGGATTATCGAGGTTCTACTATACACTATACGTGTAATCAAAAGAACCAAATGTCACCCATGTTATGTGAAAAAGAGTATACTAGCTAAAATTTTATAATATTTTTTGTTTAGAACGAATTTCTGGTAGATAGGTAAAATTGCACAAAAATTGCCCCCCCCTGAACGAAATCCTGTATCCGCGCCTGTATCCATCCAACGAACGGCTACTTTCATATTTTCTCGACTTTTCATTACTCCTACAGTACGAAAAATTAGGTCTCGATTTCCGTCTGTCGTCTGTCAATTTTTATTAGAGAGATGATCTACGAAACTGCTGGACCGATTGTTGTCAAATTTTACATGTATGTTAGGAATGTGGTGTAAATGGTAAAACGCTAACCAAAACTTGTCTGATCGTTCCCACCACCAATGGGAGGACGTCACCTCCAAAATTTACAATAGTAAATTTTATTTAAATTAAAAAAATAACAAACTCTTGGACTTGTGGTTCGTAAGTCAGTGTTAAGTTTTTACCCTGGAGACTGCAAAATCGATTGCTCTGAAATCTGGTAAACGTTTTAAGGTAAGTCCGATGAATCGTTAACCAAATTTACCCTTTATCCCCTCACAAAAAACTGATGAGTCATTCATATTTTATAATTATTAATACAGAGCGATTTAAAAAAATGAGTGGAGCAATCTGTTTTATTGATTAAATCAGCACCCATTTTCCCGTAAATTTGAGTTTCTAGTACCGTTATTATTAATTAGTATTACATTTCACCTATTCGAATTGACATACGTGTCTTTGATACGTGTTGATGACGTCAGCACAAAATTTTGTTATGCTCCTCAAACTCGCTTGAAACATATAAATATCTTTATGTTGACTTACAGGGCCTATCATAAAAAAGATAAAATTCGCAAATTTGATTTTATAATTTTTCAAAGAATCTGTATTTCTTCGCCTTTACCTCAGGGGCGAGGGAAGACAATTTTTGGTGTTGTTACGAAAAATCATGATTAGTCTTACTTCATAAAATAAAATCTTTTTTAGACGATGTGTAGTGCCTAAAATATGAAAAAATAGCTGTTCTGCTGCTGTCTGCTGACGAATTAGACACCTATTTAATATCAGAAACTACTGCACATGTTGTGAAATTTTAGATGTAATTTTTATTTCTAAAATGTGCGAACTAATATGTTTCCATACGTTTTGTTATTTTTTACACACAACACTGAACATGTAGGTAAATTGTAAGTTTTTATTGGAACTACAAAACCAATATTGTTCTGAAATTTGGTATACGCTTAAAGTAATTATTAACCAGAAATCACTTTCACAAATTTAATAACGTCATCCCCAAATTTTTTTAAGAAAATCTCATTTTAAGCATATCCTTAGCATATTCTTCTACCAAGAGTTTAATAGTCCACATTTTTATTTCAACTTATACGGGTTATTGTAACAAATATTTAATATTCCTAGATTCCATTCTTATAGTTTATCTATAAAATTAGATTATGTTTCACGGGAAAGAGAAGTTCTGTATAAACATCTTGAGGCTTTTATTCTTAGCATATAAAGCAATATTCGTCAAATAATTTTACTGTTGATGTTGAATAGGTTGTTCTAAAATAATTCCTTATGATATGGATTTTCAAAAAAATTGTGCGATCTCTCAAACGTTTTCAAAGACCCACAATTATTTACTTCGAAGGACCAATGTATATTACTACTCATCAGACGTTTATTTATTTTACTATTTACCAGTGGCGGATCGTGATCTTTTGAAATGGGGGGACACAATTAGATTGATGAGTTAAATATGAAGATATAAAACAGGCTGTTACTACCAGTTAATAGACGAAATTTTATGACGGAAATAAATACAAAAATACATTCAATAAAAGTAAAAGAGTGTTTGTCCACATAACTTTGGTTTTAACTCATTACTGACAAAACAAAAGAATTCATTTTTTTTTTTACAACCGCACATCCACAAAAATGTATCATACCTACTTGTTATGTCTATTAAAATATCTACGAAAGTCTCTCGTTTTGTCATGAACACTTATTTTATTAATAAATCGGGGGTGGCTCTCCCTAAATTTTTCATTACAATTTTATCGTCGCAAGAGAGGACGATTTTTTATTAAATTTTAACTGAATTTGTTATTTTTATTTAAAATCAGACAATTTCACTCGCGTAGAATGAAAATGAACTCCCGTAGTTGAATTACTGATAGCGATCACTGTTTCAAATGT